CATCGCTACTTGGGTGGAGGTCATTGCTGCCATTGCTACTAGGGTGACCGGTGGAGGCCATTGCACTAGGGTGAAGGCCATCGCTATAGGTTGGAGGCCATTGCTTCTAGGGTGCTGGCCATCGCCGCGTGGTTGGAGGCCATCGCTACTAGGGTGGAGGCCATCGCTATTGACTTTGAGGTCATCGCTATTAGGTTGTAGGCCATCGCTACCAGAGTGGAGGCCATTGCTACTAGGTGGGAGGCCAGCGTTACTAGGGTGGAGACCATGGCTACTAGGTTGGAGGCCATTGCTATTTCAATGCTCAAGGCCGTCACTGCGGCTGGATTGCTGCCCTGGCTTCCATTGCCGCGCCGGGAGCACTTGGAGTTTTGCATAATTGTAATACTGCATGACACTATGAGAGGCACTCACAACCTTGCAGATGTTCTTTCAGTCATTCCTTTTCCGAATTGCCGAATTGCATTTTTTCACCTGGACAGCTAGAGGGACGCACCAATTGGCAAATGAGTTTGCATTATAATACTGCATTCTCTAGACGGAAGTTGTGATGTTACAGAGGGAAAGTGAACTTGGCATGCCTGCTGCCTGCTCATATAGACTTTGGGACAAGGAATCAGCATTTAATTGTGCGATTCATGTGACTTTGAAGGCCTTGGAGGGATTGGAAACATCTTTTGAAACTGAGGCGAAATGCAGACGTTTGTCTTATCCCTGAGATGAGCATCGACTTGGACAAGTTAATGGAATACATTGTCGAGGCAAGCGCCTCATCCAACTGTTGTGCCTGAAGGGTGTCAAAACATGCCAATGTCCTGCGACAGGTCATGAAGCGACAAAAGTATGCTGTAATTGTTGTGGCTGAAGGCACGGCATCCTGGCGCCGGAATCAGGGAAGTTGGGAAGCATGTCCTTGGCAATCGTTTCTACTTATTGCATATCTTGGGCAGGGGTTGATCACGGACATTCCTTCAAACTTTGGTTTATCATGCGACAGCCTCCGTGAATCCAGGTTGTGGAGATACCATCATTAGCAGCGGCAAGAGCACAGATGCGGGAGGAAACAAAGTTTTGGCTGACGTCGGCCGGGAGCTGAAGAACCTGAGGCAAGCACTACGCCAGGAATGTCCTATGGCACGTTACTCAAAGAAACCCTTCATTGCACTATATATAACATAGTTGTTTATTTGCCATATTTGCTGACGCCGCAGCAGACCACCGACCTCAGAGGACATCAGAAGACACTTTAGACTCAAGATGTAAGGTGTGCTTAGGCAGGATTAATTGGTATGTCATGGCCGCGCACAGGCAGCAAAACACACACTTATGGATTTGGGTACTGAACTGAAAGCGGTGCCACACGCCGGCCTAGGGTACCAGTTCCTAAGAGTACAAAAATAGTACTGTAGGTTAAAGGCCTTCGCTTTTGGGTTAGAGGCCAACGCAAGGCTGTTGGGGACCAAGACCTAAGGTTCGAGGCCATCGCTAGTAGGTGGTGGACCATAGGCACAAAGTGACAGCAAGAAGCGAAGTTGGAGGTCATCGCTAGTGGGTGGAGGCCAAGGTACCAAGTTAGAGGCCAGTGCTACCAGTTGACAAGAAGCACAAGAAGCACAAGAAACACAAGACAGCCAAGGTTGGAGGTCATCGC